GGGGGGGGGGCTGCTACCCCCAGTGTCACTGGCATCCAGGGGCAAAGAGAGGTGGCGTGGGAAGATCCCGAATCCAGAAGGCACAGTTTTGAAGGAAAAACTGTTCACCCATCACACTTGGAGAAACAAAATAGTGTTACTGAAAATGGCCAGAGACAATTGGCCAGGAATTTGTGCACAATTAGGTTGCTCCTGTGACAATACAGCCCAAATGATGAAATCATCAAAAGTAAAGGTTTTTTTTTTTAAGAACTGTAATGCAAGCTAGTTTCATAATGCATCTCTCCATGGTGAAACCTGAGTTGTCTGCCTTCACTTAATGTGGACAGTGTCTTACCTAAAAACATATTCTTCATCATCTTAGTCTGTTTTGCTGCCGTACTTTTATAGCTTTTAGTTTTTGTTTTTTGTGTAAATGGTGACAAAATTCCTTCCACCCAGGAGCCTGCACTTTTGAAGAGTTTGAAATCTGCACTTTAACAGTTTTGTTTATATGAGGCTTTTTTGTTCCTCCAAACTTAGTTGAAGCATATATCTATTAACTTTCTTGCCCTTATGATTAAACACATTTTAAGTTGGTTATGTATTTTAGAGAAGAGTGAAAGTTCGATTAGCCAGAAATACGGTATTTTTTTCTGTTGGAATAAGGATTCAACAGAAGATTATGTACCCCTTTTGGAAGTCATTCCTGTACAGTTTAGTACTAGTAACTAGTTGGGATTTGGGCAGGCACGACAGCAGGGGTTATAGATCAGTGCTTGTGTGCATGACAAGGAGATTCTGTCCCCTTTTGCCTGTTCCCTCTCATTTCTCCAGAACTTCTCAGACTCGGCTTGCCTCCTGGCTAAGACCTGCAGTGAGGGAATGTCCTGAGGCTCTGCACACGCACACTGTTGGTGGCCGCAGCAGGGCATGTCTCTGACCCTGGAGATTTAGTCCCCTTAACATTACCATTGACTGGGGTGGGGTGGGGGGGGGTCCCCTGAGCAGGTGAAGAATGGCAGCCTGCAGGTTTCCAGGGGGCCGCCATTGTCACCGCCACAGGTTTCCGGTTTGTGGTGATGTTTCTCGTGGAGTCGTCTCTTGCCCCTGGTTCCATAGCACTGCCTGTACCCCTGCCCCCACCCAAACACCTGCTCACTGCTGCTGTAGAGGACGAGCTAAAATCATACGAGCTTGTTAGGCTTTGCCTTTCACTCCTACAATCTGAGAGAGAGGGGGTGAGGAGGGTGTGGGGGGAGGGAGGGAGGAGTGGGTGAGATCGAGCTTATTAATGTAAGGTTCTGAGAAATGAAAATGCTGCCATGGATTTTTTTTCTTCAGAGTCCTTTGCATTCATTTCTTAAATGAATTTCTTTGACTTTCCACAGCTACAGCTACAATTTTAAGATGGCTTTTTTTTTTTTTCCTTCTTAAAGAGCAATGTCTATCCTGGAGGTAGCATGGCAAGAAGGAACACGTATGTGTGTGAAAGGAGTGCAGATCGATATGTGGCGTTGCAGAACGGAAAAGACAGCAGGTACCTGTCACAGCGCCACATGGTGCTGTCTTTGTCATCCTCGTGCAGGACTGCTCTTGCGCAAAGAGGAGCCGAACGGGTCCAGGGGAAAAGGGAGCACTAGAGAGAATGGTTGCAAGCAAGCACTCTAACGAAGGCGTCTCCCCTCCTGTACCAGAATGGAAGGATGGGAACCTACTTTGGGGAAAGAGGAGATAAATGCTCTTACCCCGAGCTTTGCTAGATAAAATCTGGTAGTAAGTGTTCCCCCGTAACAAAGCACATCATACTAATCATCCTAATCTGATCTTAATTTCAGTCTTGTTCTCTTATCTACGTGCCGCTTCCTTTTTATCTTTGACTTCATTTTTTTTTTTAACCTTTGTTTCTTACCCTTCCCCCTCCCATCAGGCCATTGTTGTATCCAAATAATGAAGGTCTGCTTCTTCTTCCTCTAAAGAAATGTGGCCATCTTAACTGATGATTGAGAACCATAGAATTCTCAACATGTTTTATTTTCAAGAATGATAAATCATATTATTTTTATTATTTAAGAAATTTAGCTTCTTTTCATCGTGAGTTGTAAGGACTATTCGCCAATATAGTACCAAAGTGCAGGGAGCCTGTTCAAATAAAATTCCGTTCTTAGCCCCATTCCTCGTCATTTCAGTGGACTGGACAGGGCATGCTTACCACTGGTTTCCTCTCCATTAATGGACATGTAAAGTGTTATTATAAGGCGTGCAAAGTAAATGTATTATCCTCAGATAGAAGATCCTTCAGGCTAGAAAAGGAGTTGAGGATTGATTTCTGACATATTACTTTTCCTATACCAAGTCCTAATCTGTAGCTCCTTTGACCTACGACAGTTAACCTATTGATTAATAATATGAGCTGAAAACATTTTGATGATGTTTCTGGAGACTGTATTTTTGCTGTAATTATGAATTCCTATTGGATGAGGGACAATAAACCACAGCATCATGTTACATCAAACTCTTGAGTGTTGGGAAGTGGAAAAGGTCTCCGATCGTAAAAGGAACTTCATGCCTTCTCAGATTCGCATTTGTAGAGCAAGCGTGTGTGAGATCTTTTCAGTGGAAGGTGGTGGTAAATTCATTCTGTACCTTTTTGGCAAGAATACGGTTTTGTTATTCACGAATGACGCCACTAATGTAAATTCTTTTAAGTGTCTCAGTCATGAAAGGTACAGTCAATTTAGATTTTTAAAGGTCTGTTTCTTAAATTTTAGTAAACTGCAGTTTCTCTTCTTTTTTACATTTCCATGGTCTTCTCCACTGTTTTCTGTCAAAAGCCTTACGGAGATGTCCGCAAGTAGCATATCTTCTGCAGGCTCGGCTGTGGCTTCTGCTGTCCCCTCGGCTCGACCACGCCACCAGAAGTCTATGTCCACTTCCGGCCACCCTGTTAAAGTTACACTGCCAACCATCAAAGACGGCTCTGAAGCTTACCGGCCCGGGTAACGCGCTGGGTGCACCTCATTTCAAAACATAGCACCAGGGGCGCCTGGGTGGCTCAGTCGGTTAAGCATCCGACTCTGGATTTTGGTCATCATAATCTCATGGTTCGTGAGTTCGAGCCCTGCGTCGGGCTCTGCACTGACAGCGTGGAGCCTGCTTGGGATTCTCTCTCCCTCTCTCTGTGTCTGTGTGTGTGTCTCAAAAATAAATAAGTAAATATTAAAACAAAAATACATGATAGGCACCATCACATTAAGAACTTTCTGAGAAGATTCGGTATCTGTAGCAAAGGGAAAAGTTGAATCGTAACATAAACATACCACATTCCTACTGTTTTCAAAAATGTTGCTTATGACTTAAATCATTTCCTAGAGGAATTTTCTGTAAGGATCTTGTTTTAAATCCATCCCTGAAGTATTGCTGCCTGATTTGTCATTCAGGTAAATTGAATTTTTTATGATCTAACAACAAAAATACTTGAGACTGAGAATGGAGACTTCTGGCTAACCCTGGCTGCTGCCCGGTACCTTTTTGAAGTAAAACCAGACTTTTTGTTTCTCTGTCAGGGAAACAGATGATCTCAAAGAGCCCTTTTAGGTACAAAATGATATGCCTGTTTTTCTAGTATTTGTCTATGCTAGGATTTCTCCAATTCAGGAACATCTTTAGTTTGGTTCGTTATTCGTATTGGTGATGTCCTGTAGCATCGTGCTGTCCCTGAGGCCTAGCTTGTAAATAGGAAATGACTCCATTCAGATGCTTTCTGATAAATAGTAAAATCCATGTTCCACGTTGCTAAACGGTTGAAGTTAAGAGAATAATAAAAAAATATACATGCAGCAGCCCCAGTCTGCCATTCCTGATACTGAAGGGTATTTGTATCCTTGTTTCAATAGCTTCTCAATCCTTAATAACTGTATTTTTATAAAAGGTGTTTAGTTGCAAACTGAAATGTTATCCCTCTCCGTGCAGTGATACCCTAAGTGCAGCTAACACGTGGATGTCTAACATGAGCAGAGAAAACGGGGCCTAACGGAAGTAGCCATGGCAAGGTTCGGGTAGTCTCTAGCATGAGAGCTCTCTCTGCCATTATTGTGAATAATAGATCTTCATTTGTCCCCACAGGGCGACCCAGCGAGCGCCTGCTGCTTCCCCATCTGCTCACAGTATTAGTGCCAGCACCCCAGACCGAACCCGCTTCCCCCGGGGGAGCTCCAGCCGCAGTACTTTCCACGGCGAACAGCTCCGGGAGCGACGCAGCGCCGCACACAACGGGCCACCCGCTTCCCCTTCCCACGAGACGGGCGCCTTCGCGCACGCCAGGAGGGGAACGTCAACGGGTATAATAAGCAAAATAACATCCAAATTCGTGCGCAGGTCAGTACCGAGGTGCTGTGGTGTTTGGCTTCCTCTAGGAATTAGAAAGGAGACTTGTTTTTGTTTTGTTTTGTTTTCTTTAATCTTTGCGGTGATTTTCCAGAGTGGTTTCCTGGTATTTCACCAGAGCCCCTCTTTTACAGAAGTTTGAAGAAGAAAATCAAAGCAGATGTAAAGTATTTTTCCCCTAAGAGACAGAGAAAAAAATGGGCAAGATAAGAATTTTTAAATTGTATAAAACAGATTGGAAAGAGCAAGAATTTGACATTAAAAAAAAAATGTGTATGTTTTAACAAAAAGATTATCCCCAACTCAAAACCCTGGATTTAAAAAGAGGAAATCAGAGTTTCCATTTATCCTTCAAATAATATGTCTTGGGAATACTTCTAAATCACTCAGTAATAATATCTAGTTCACTTTTTTTTCCTTCCCTGTGAAAAGCCTGTGTCCTGGAGTCACATAGATGACTTAAATAATTTTACATCCCAAAGCCTACCATGAAAATACAGCAGACACACAATGAACACAAGCATAGCAAACTTCTGATCAGATAGCGGAATCGTGCTCTCTTCTAAAGCGTAAGCATGATCGCACAGCACATATTGATTGTGGAGGTTGCTGAACACAGTGCGGTGGCTGTCCATTTGATCTATTATTAGGTCCTCCTAAAAGCCTGCTAGAATCCTGTATGTACAAAGCCCTGTGCTAGGAGCAAGACGCAAAGGTGAACAAGACCGCGTCTGTGCGCAGTCCTGAAAGGGGCAGGCCTGTAAGCAGCTAGCTGTGATGGCAAGCAATACAGCAGCGGCCTGGGGTGGCCCGGGGACGGCACAGGCAGTGATGAGGGGGAAGGGTAAAGCTCTGTACCATATAGACATTTGAGCAGGGACAGTTGTTACGCTTGCTTTAAAACGGGAGGAGTTATTATGCTTGCTTTAAAAGATATTAATTAAATACTTAATTGTCCAGGTTATTAGTGTTTTAGGATTTCAAAGAGTGCGAGTAGAAAAGAGAAGAACAGCTTTAGTCTCTTGTCTTCTCATGGACCAGTTTGCCCAAGATCACAGCTGAATTTAAAACTTAATTTTTTTTTTATGTTATTCATTTCTGAGAGAGAGAGAGACACAGAGCATGAGCAGGGGAGGGGCAGAGAGAGAGGGAGACACAGAATCCGAGGCAGGCTACAGGCTCCGAGCTGTCACTACAGAGCCTGATGCAGGACTTGAACTCCCGAACCGCGAGATCATGACCTGAGTTGAAGTCAGACGATCAACTGACTGAGCCACCCAGGCGTCCCTGAATTTAAAACTTTAAATACTCAAACACAACATCAATTTCTAACCGTATCAACAGTGATGTACCATTTGGGCACTGACCATGCAGCCTGACACCTTGAGAGAGAAAGACCCACAAGCTCAGACTCTGCATGACAGACTATAATGCTGGCTGTCCACCTGCAGGGTCCTAGTTAGATTAGCAGTGGTTTCTGCTATTGGAATGTGGCTCACTATTTAAAGCCCTTTTTAAAAGCCAGTACTTTCTCCTGATTAAGCCAGGATTCATTTCAAAGTGAAGGAAAATGGTTTTGAGTTGCAAAGCCTGATCACTAATTGTACATGAAGCCTTGTGTAAAATATTTCCCTTTACTTTGCAATGAAAATTTTGATTCTAGAGAGAACATAGTAAAAGGGCCCTTGACAGGAGGTCAGGACAGAATGCAAGAAAGTGGCCTGGAGACGGTCTGTTGGGTGGATGGATGAAGGGTTGCCACAGAGCCATCAGTTTAAGAGATGTGAGGCCCTGCCTGTGCTGGGCACCTACCGGGTGCTGTTGGTACGGCCGTGAGCGAGACCGACGCGGCCCCCACTCCAGGAGCAGCTCGCACAGTTCTGCCGCCTTGCACGCAGTTGAAACGTTTTCCCGCTCGCTTTTAGGTTTCCTCCTCCCTCTCAAACTAGCTATTCCTTCTCGGGCTGTTTGCTGGTTCTTTTCAGGTCCCCTTGCCTTTCCCCCTGACCTCTGTCAGATCGCCCCAGCGTTCAGGCTTCGGACACGTTCTCTTCTCTGGCTGGCCTCACTGTTGGCGGTGATCACATTCAGGCCCGTGACCCTGCATTCCGTCCCACGTTAACAACTCCCACACTTCTGCCTTTAGCCCAGCTCTCTCCTCTGAACTACAGACTCACATATCCAGTGTCTACCCAGCCTCTGCACGCTGACGTGTGATGGTCTCCCAGACTGAGCGTGTCCAAAATGCAGCTCTCTCTCCTCTTCCCAGAAGCATCCTCCCTCATTCTTCACCACATTGGGTACCAACAGCACCGTCCCTCTGGTTCTCGGACCACAAGCCTTGAGTTATTTCTGAGAGCACACGCCGGGCCTGCTGGCCTGTGGCCGTGGCTCTCTGCCGTCCCAGCATCTCCTGGACGTAGCTTCTCGGTCACCGAACCCACCGCTCGTCTTCCCCCTGCGAACAGGTCTCTTCGCTCCCGCCCTTGGCCCCCTATTCTGTGTTCAGCATCGTCTGTCCCCTTGCTTTTACCCTGCTCACAATACAATTTGAAACCCGCAGTGGCCTCCGAGGCCCTACGCGGTCTGGCCGTGCATTTCTGCTCTGACCCCTCTTCTGTCCCTTCCTCTCTCTGGTCCCACACCGGCCACACGGGGCACCTGAATGTCCTCGCGCACGCCAGGCCCGGGCGGGATCTCGTACCCGCTGTTCCTTCTGCCCCGAGTCCTCATCCCCCACGCCGCTGCCGGCTTCTTCCCCACCACCTTTGGGTCTTTGCTGCAGTGTCCCTTCCTCGGTGAGACCTTCCTCAGTCCCCTCTTTACAATCACAGCCTCCTCCTCCCGACACGCCCTCTCCCAGCTCTGTCTTCCTCCACAGCGCTCCACACTACCTGCCCGAACACCCCGCTCGGCGTGGCGTTCACCGTCTCTCTCTTGCAGCTCTGAGATGAGCCCCTTGAGAACCTGGATGTGCTTGTTTGCTTTGTTTTCTGCTAAATCTTCTGCTGAGTATCGAGTGCCTACTATGACACAGAAGATGACATTCGATAAACATTTCCTTATTTGGTCAAATAGTGTGGAAGACAAATTTTTAAAGTGAGCAAATAAGGTTGTCATGAATCCTGGTAAGTGCCGGGCAGGAAGCGGGTCCCAAAATAGAGAATAAGGCTGGGGGCTAAGGGCGTTCAGGGGTAGCCTCAGAGGGGAGCCAGCATGAACATTTCTGAAGTTCCACGATGCTCTTCTCAGTTTCTGAACACGTCACATAGCAGAGGGACCTGGGAGGCAGCCGGGGGGGGGCGGAGAGGACAGGAAGGAGGTTGTTTGTCTGCTGACCTTTGTCAGCAGTTTGGTAGCAGATTTTAACGTCTTTTGATTTTTGACATGTTTTAATTAATCCTGGGTCTGGTTAGAGAAGAGGAAAAATTTGCACTTCTCCCGTGAGGTGACCTGTCACCACGTGGACAGCTTTGGCTTTGCGGACGTGTTTGCGTTCGCTGCCATGCGTACGGGATTCCCTCCCGTCCCGCTGTGTAGCTTGAGAGCGGGCCGTGCAGACACCGCCCACGATCTGATGCAGGAGACCGGCAAAGCATCGGTCTCGGGACCAGGAGTGAACTTGCCGGCTTCTGCAGCCGCGGGCAGGCTGCAAGGACAGTGGGTCTTCTGTACGTGCAGCATGTTGCACTTTGGGGAGGGTTGGAGCCTCGGAGGTAAACTGGAGAGTTTCTTGATGTTCCGGAGCTGTTCCAGCCTTATTATTTGTCACTCTCACCTCAGCTCCCACATTGTCAGTCCTTCCCGCTCGCATCTTCCTAAGTCCATCCTGGGTTCAAGCCCCGCCCTTCTCTCTGTTCCCTTTGCCCTCCTCACTCCGCTGTGCCTAAGGCCGGAAGAAATGGAACCCGCACGCGGGCAGCCCACGTGGCCAGCAGCACAACTGGGAACGCTCGGGGCCAGGGCTGATCGGGGCCCAGCCTAGCCCCACGACACCTCACGTACTTCGGGACCGACTGCGTCGTGTGCCACCAACTGCTTAAAAAGATGGAAAGACAGGATGTTGCAGGGGAAATAGGAAAGGGATCTGGGTCACTAAACTTTAAGAAGGGAAGGATAGAGACTAGTTCAGAGTTAATCATTCATGTACTTGAAAACCGTGATGACAAAGAAGAAGCCAGTTAGTAAGTTCTTCCCGGCCGGTGAGGAGGCTGTAGGCTGAAACGACCACGTGAGAGAGTGGCTTTCTGGTCTTAGGAAGGAACTTGCCAGTTAGGAAGGTGATTTTCCGCTAGAGTCCTCAGTCAAGGGAGGATGTAGACGCACTATTTCAAAAGCCTTTTAAATAGCATTTAGAACCATTTGTTTTGCACAGGTTCTATAGAGCTGCTGTGTAAACTGGAGATTAGATCAAACCTTAAGAGTTTTTAACCATAGCTCTCTCTTAATAGGGAATAACCAAATTCGTTAGTTGAGTATGTCTTGCCATGTGTAAGATATTTGGCTTCTTTTTTTAAGTCTTAAATGTTGGAGAGCCCTGCCACGCTGCATATGGTGTTAGAGCCAGCTGGCTTTCTGTACCCCCAGCCGCCTCCCTCCGTGGCGACTGGAAGATTTGAAACCTTCACCAGGTAGCAGACATGCCTTGAAGTCAGGGTTTCTGTTGGCATCCAGGAGGCAGGAGCAGGGTGCGGGAACGACGTGACCCGTCGGTGACAGTTTCAACAATTGCAGCAGGGGAAGTAGTGTCAGAGGAGGGTGTCATCCCTAATGCTTACAGTTCAGCAGCAGTGGAATAGGTGTTTGCTAACAGTGACTTACAAGGCAAAATACAAAGAGAACAGAAGCCCCATGAGACGTGTATTCCTTTGTATGAAAGCGGTGGCATCACTGTCTTTCCCAGCTGCTGGGCTGCCCTCCAGTCTATACCAGCACACCAACATGTGACTGAAAATGTACATGTCAGTGTTTTATTTATGTGCATGTGCTGTAATAAAGATAAATTTTACATAGATGTCATTGAAGCATTACACTTCCTGTTGAAAACGCCAGTTATTAAACATAGAAATTTAAGAAACCACAATCCGAATGCAAAAATACGTCTTCTTTGTCCTTTTTGATTCAGAGAGCGAGATGGTTTTTACACAGTATGTTTGTCAAGAAAGGCATAAGTATTTTTAACCTCCAGTTCGAGTTTTAGAGCTTAGTGTATGGATATGATTTGGTAATTTAGGGAATGAGGACAGTGGCCCTGATTTTCTTCCTATTGCATTCACTTTACATAAATAGTATAAATGTTTCCAGAATGGTTAAAACATTAAGAAAACATGAACTTAAGGGTTTGAGTTGGTTATTTTTTTTCCCAGCCATGTGGTGGTATTTCACTATCCCAAGTCAGCTCTGCACATTTAAACTGGTGTGTAGCTCGATGCTCCTGTGTCTATTCTTAATTGCATTTGACAATGACAGAGTAGTTAAAATTTTGGTAGACTTAAAAACCATTCATGATGTTCAACAAAAGGACAATTAGTGGAGTTTTCCTGGTTTTATTTCACAGGTGGATGTCCAGGTAAGATCAATGTTTCTGTTTAAGACTGATTTCATGTTTTAGACTCACCTGCTTGGATAGGCTGTTGGTTTGCTGTAACATTTCATCATGTGCATGAATCATGAGTGTGACATCTGAAGTTAATTGCTTATGCAAATATCAGTACTTGTTTTTAGAAACACTTCTGTATGTTGAGCTTTAACTACAAGGCTAATTTATGTATTTTCTAAATTGAGCGACTACTAGAATTACGTTTAATAACCAATGCGAAGTTGGATCTTGCTGTTGAAAATTATTAAATGGTTTTAACTGTAGATTGAACGGAACGCAACCAAACGATAAATTCTGACTTTAAAATTGTGACTGGGAATTGGAAGATCCTGCTTAAAGAAAACGAAAACAAAAGCAGTCCTAAACTGTCAAGCTGGCATCTCCTCTCTGACAATACCCAGTAGACGCTCAATAAGATGACCGTTAAGCTGGTGCCGTGAAAGCGTGCAAAGCGGTGTCCGACTGCCTAGTAACCGAGAAGTGTTGCGCTGGAAGTTTGCTTAACGAGTTAACTTTAAAATCATGTTAGATGCAGGTTTTCTTGATCTATTTTTCACTCTTATCATTAAATCTCCACCTTCACTTTGTTTTGAGGGATCCAAGTGAAGGCGAAGCCAGTGGCAGAACAGACACCTCAAGGTGAGGAGCCACTATTATACTTCGCTGCTAGGCCCCCGTGTGTGAAGCCGCGCCCTCGAAATACCCACAGCACCTCATAAAGCTGAATAGAGCCAATAGCCAGATAGTATGTGTGTTTTCAATTGTTCTATCGGGACGGGTCTTCCTGATGTCGCCTGGCATTTAATGCGGTTTAAGTTAATTCGAGTGTGTGTTCTCTAAACATTACTTTGACTGGTATGCCTTGTAGAGAAGTAGCCTTCCTGTCCTACAAAATACACCCTAGCAGGAGAGAATTCTTAGAGGGATATGGATCGATTTTTTTTCTCACCAAAAGGATGTAACTAAAATTAGATAATACAGAACACTGGGGTAACCAGATGTGTAGGAAGGTTTAGCGTGAGAAGGACATGTTAGGTTGAGCATTCAGTGGTAGGCCACATTTTAGGACTGTCACCCAGCCTCCCTGGTGGCTTTTGACGTTCAGCGCTGGCTGTGTGATCCTGCTGACACCGGGTTTCAAACGTGAGCCCCATCCGAATTCCGGGGGGTGGGGGGAATTGGGCGGGAGGTACCGATGCTGCTGGTTTGGGGAGCACCTTAGTGACGTGTTTGTACCTGTGTCCATGTTTTCAAACGGGAAGTTGAAGAAAAGAAGGCATGAAGTCATTTTGAGTGTATCCCAGCATTAAAGGATCCCATATGCGTCGCAGAACCTCGACAGGCAGTTCCTCAGTATGACAGATGCCCCAGCTTCATTCAGGAGCTATTTTTGGCCCAGCTGAGCACAAGCCCCAATTTAACTTCTACTTCTTAAAATTAATAGAAATATAAAACACAACGAGCTTTGGAAAAACTTTATCAGGCATTCCTACACGATCTTTTTTTTGCCACCTGTGCTCTATTTGCTTAGTCACAATAGTGGCAATGTTTCTTTATTGAGTTAGGTGCCCGAGTCACCCCGGTAGGCAGCCAGAGGGAGGCAGGACAGATATCCTGGACTTTTCTTCTGCCTGTGAAAGAGACATGAAGGACATTTGTTTTCAGCTCGTCCCTCACTCCGTCATCACTTTTGAGCCTCTTGTGTCTTTTCCTGCCTTTCCACTAAATTCCCCTGCCCGGAGACACCTGATAGTGTAGGGAGAGTCACAGGTGGCCACTGATGGTCTGCATGCATTTTATCCTCGCGATGTGACTACATGTCCCTTTGGTTGTTGGGTTTGGGCGGCAGGGTTGTTTTTTGCTTTTCAACAAACTTCTTGAATCCCTAGTATCTACAGGGTCCTAGCTGGCCATTTAATTCTCATAGTGGCCATTTTACACGGAAGGAACAGCATGAGGTCCTGTCACTGCAGAGCTGTGGCCGGGCGCGACCGTGAACAGCGCAGGCTCCGGGCCAGACCCCGTGGGTCTGAGCTGTGTCTTCCCCCTTACCTAGCCATGTGACTTTAGGAGGTCACTCTAACTCTCCTGCCCCCACTTCCTCATCCCAGCTGCCTTCTAGGGTTGTTAGAGAGGCTAAATGAGTAAATAATGCATGTTAGGCGCTTGGCACAGTTCCTGGCACCTAGTAAGTGCCCAATAAATGTTAGCAATTCTAATTAGAATTAGCATTTTCTGGATCTTTCTACAGTTAATGTCACTAGTGGCGATGCCTGTGAGATACACGTAGAGAAACATCTTGTGTGTACCTGTCGTCCCAAGGTCACCAGGTTTCCCTGGTGGAACGGAAGGAAAACTTGGTTGCTGGTCTGTGCATTTCAGCTCATTAGCTGTGTGACCTTAGAAAAGTAATGTACGTTTCCTAGCCATCAGTTCTGTTTTTAAAATGAGTGTTCAATCACGTGTTCTCTTGGGTCCCTTCCAGCCCTAGCATGCTGATTCCATAACCGGACTCGTGCATACGGTCCTCACGAGATCCGCACGCCCAGGGAGGCTTACGATGCAGTGGCTTAGACTCAGTGAGCACAAAGAACATGGTAGAGAAGACGCTGAAATAAATACTGTCCGTATTTACCTAACAATCTTTAGAAATTCATTTTCTCTACTTACTCCTCTCCTTATTTTCTCAAGCTTGTATAGTTTGCAGAGCGGTGGGCTCAGGTACCAGGAATGGGGAGGAAAGCACATATGCAAATGTACACATAAGAATTCACATATACAGATGTGCACATGAATATATATTAGAGGATAATGTTGATATAAAGTATGTATAAATACAAAGTATGTATGAAGTAGGTTATAAATCCCTCTCAAAGTATGTCCTTTCTTCTTGAAATCACATATAAGTGAGACAGGTTAGCAAGTAAGAATTGCAACATCTATCTTTAGAAAATGGCTCCACAAATTTAACTATAGGTCTTCTGAATCATAAATAATCTAGTCTAGCTTTCTACGATTATTTGAAATTGGTTCTCTGGTTCTGTATTATTTATGGGAGGCCTACAGTAAGGACAATTCACTAAGGTTGATTGATTTAACAAATATGTGTCAATCAGCCACTATGGGCCTGGCGCAGTCCCAGAGGCCCGAGCAGTATCAGTGAACAAAACAGGCAGGACTCCTTGCTGTCCTGGAATTTCAGTCTAGTGGTAGAGTCAGACAGTAAGTCATGAAGGTAATAAATGAATTAAATAGTACATTAGAATGTGGTAAGTGCTACAGAGACGGAAATAGAACAAAGTTGGGGGTTGGCCATGCCATGGTAGGAGCTGAGGTGGTCAAGGTAGACTGCATGGAGAAAGTGAGCAGAGATTTGAAAGCAGTAAGGAAGCCATGCAGCCATTGAGGGGAAAGCATTCACGGCAGAGGGAGCAGCCTGTGCACAAGCCTTAAGGCAAGAACAGACCCCGTATGTTCAGGGACTAGTGTGGAGGCCAGTGTGTCTTGATAAGAGTGAGCAGGGAAGAAGATAATACAAGATGGCGGGTGGGGGGAGGGAGGTGGAGCGTGGGTCATGTGGAGCCTTGTAGACTACTTTTTAAGGATGTCTTTAGCAAAATGTTGAAACCCTCAGAGGGCCTGACGTCTACACTTCTACGTGTCGTGTGGGACCTGACGTCTTTACCGCGTTGCAATACAACATTCTCTATCAGTGTTGTTAGGTATAAATAATCCCTCTGTGGCCATTACTAGCATCTTTGTCCCCAGTCTTTTTCCTACCCAAAAAAAGGTAGAAAAAAAGGATATTTACATTTTTAAGATGTATTTATAAGCAGAATGCTAGTGGTTTCTATCTGTGTAAATGTGCAGAAAATGGAGAATCTGCTTTTGCAACTTAGAGAAATATGGAAGGAACTGACAGAGTATCAAGTTCTTCACTTTCAGCTGTAAAGTTGTTTCCCACAAACAAAGTCAAAGCAGATGGCATCCCGGGGTCTGGTTTTACGACGTCAGGATGACACAAATGTTCGTATCTACCTGAAGGTAGTCTGTAACTTGGGTGGTTTCGTTAGGCACTGAATCATGACCACTTAGACTTTATGTGTGCTTTGACTTCTTTGCTGAATGGAATTTCTGTTTCCGTTCTCTCCCTTTGCCCTCTTCTTCTAGAAGCACGTCAGGGGAACCGAAAGAAAGAGACAAGGAAGAGGGTAAAGATTCTAAGCCACGTTCTCTGCGGTTCACGTGGAGTATGAAGACCACTAGTTCCATGGACCCCAATGACATGATGAGAGAGATCCGGAAAGTGTTAGATGCGAATAACTGTGATTATGAACAAAAAGAGAGGTTTTTGCTTTTCTGTGTCCACGGAGACGCGAGGCAGGACAGCCTTGTGCAGTGGGAGATGGAAGTCTGCAAGTTGCCACGCCTGTCCCTCAACGGGGTCCGCTTCAAGCGGATATCTGGGACATCGATTGCCTTCAAGAACATTGCATCTAAAATAGCAAACGAGCTTAAGCTGTAAAGAAACTCAAATTTACAGGATCAGGGAAGATAACGTTCACATATGAGGTACAGTTTTTGAATGTATTGGTAATGCCCAACGTGATTGGCCTGTGAATCTCCCCATGTAGAATTTGCCCTTAATGCAATAAGGTTATACATAGTCATGAACTGTACAATTAAAGTCAGTATGAAGTATAATATCTGTAGCTAAAAAAAGTAGGTTCACATGTACAGGTAAGTATATTGTGTATTTCTGTTCATTTTCTGTTCATAGAGTTGTATAATAAAACAGATGATTGCTTAAAAACTTGTATAGTTGTCTAGATTTCTGCACATAAATGTATGTTCGACGCTTTCGGTTGGAAGTGTTCTTCCCTGTTATTTACATTCTGGTGGGTTTTTTAAATTCTTACCTCCATCATGCAATTTTGAAAATTGTGTCCAGAATTAAAAGTGCACAGAAATAGTCTTTAAAATTGTAGCATGGACTTTTAAAAATTATTTTTCAATCATATTTAAATGTAAACCACAAGCTGATAGATAGATCAGCTTTACTATACACAGAATTATTCCTGCTTATCTTTGCTCTTACCCTTGTTCTCAGACAAGGTTTAGTTGAGAAAATACAAAATGTTTACAGTGTTGGCACTTAGAGTTTTTCAGATAAATTACACGAAAATAATAATAGCTTTGCCTTGAGCTAGCTAAGAAATACTGGGGAAAAAGTTAAACCTATACCCAATTCCTCTTAAACTTTAAAGTGTTTTCTGGCCCACTGCTAAATGTAGCAGCAGAATTAAAAAGAATCAGTACTTCATCTGGCTCTTGTAACGTAAACTGTCGCTGAATACCGCAACGTGATGGCAGAAATCTAAGAACATCGGGACTGTCTCTTAGCACAAACTCATCTTCACAGTGTTGATCGATGCATCAGTTAAGAAATAATGCCACCTCAGGAAATAACTGGCATTGGGAACATTTGCCTCTTCTCCTTTCCTCTCCATCCACCCCCGACCCAGTAGTATCTGTAAGTACTTAAGAGACTTTTGAGCAAATCATGCTATTTATAACAGTGTGTTATTGATTTACGCTTATGTGGCTGTTCAGTTTGTTCCCACGTAACCTGATTGTTTTTCATATTTTGCCAGATTTCTTGTATTTATTCCACATCGTTATGCCTATAACGTGCAGCTTTGTAATTGGGCCTTTGCCTAGTTTTCTTTCATGATCAGTGATACATGCGATGTAAAACCACTAGTAAAGGTACATTTTAATACTTGTTATTTTATACTGAATTAGCCTTGGAGGTTGACTGTGCAATGTTATTTAATGTTGTAATTACTGTAATATCGACATATGGGCCCCATCTGCGCACTCCTGAGAAACAGAAAGCGTATCCAAGCTTCATCGGTTTAGGAGAGAATAAAGGTGTGGTAAATACTGTAATTCTGCAGTAGAGCGCTCCACGTGTGGGAGACGAGACGTGCCGTCCCGTGGTGGCTTCCCGACTGGGGTGGACTTTACGTTCTGTACTGTACTGTGATGTAGCTTTCTTCTGTAACAGTTCTGTTCTAAAATGAAGTGTATTTTTGCCTTAGCAAAGGATGGTGTTTGGAAAAAAACAAAAAAACAAAACTGTGTAGCCCCTTTTTAACCTAGTGTTCATTCAGAAAAATTGATGCAAATCTCCATTCACTCTCACTGGTGCACACTGAAGTTTTACTTGAACGGTTCTCCTAATAAAGCACTTGTCTTCTCCTCTTTACCAGAATGTGAATTACCTGTTTTCTAGCACAAACGTGTTCTGCATGGGGAGTGTATTCCTTGTGTCCTACATTTAGTTGACAGGGGGTAAAGCTATGTAGGTTTTCAAAATGTCATTATGACAAGAAAAATTTACTCTTTTTATAGGAATTCCTATCATCAGAACACTTTTTTTAAAAAAAAATAGCCATCATGCCTTTTCCAAGGTAGAAACTGATGGGTTGGATTTTTGTTTTGTTTTGTTTTGTTACATTTTCTCACTCTGATTAACTCTGGTGTGTTTGTGGGAAGGAATTTCACTATATTTTTTATGAACTGAAAATGAAATCTTGATATTCACTTTAGATTTTCCCATTTTATATAACATAATTTTTTTTTTTAAGATTTAGAAGAATTTTACAATATGTTTCCATATATAATACCAGTTATATTCACTGGCTGTGTGATGTCAGGGCTTCCTTGGTTTCTGTTTAAATATTATTGGATACAACATCCCTAATATTAAGTTATTTTGTAGAGACTGGGGCCCAGTACTTAACTTGATAAGTAAATACTCGGCAAATAATAAGATGAAATATACTCTAGAGCCTTAACCCAGTAATATTGTTCAAGGAAAGAGTTCACTTAAAATCTGGGGGCACCTGAGTGGCTTAGTCGGTTGAGCATCCGATTCGGCCCAGGTCATGAGCTCGCGGTTTGAGTTCGAGCCCCACATCGGGCTCTGTGCTGACAGCTCGGAGCCTGGAGCCTGCTTCAGATTCTGTGTCTCCCTCGCTCTCTGCCCCTCCCCTGCTTGTGTGTGCGCGCGCGCTCTCTCTCTCTCTCTCTCTCTCTCTCTCAAAAATAAATATTTAAAAAAAAATTTTTTTTTAAATAAAATCTGAACACCCTTGGGGCACCTGGCTGGCACAGTCGGTGGAGCAAGTGACCTTTGATCTTGGTGTTTACAAGTTCAAGCCCCACATTGGGAACAGAGTTTACTTTAAAAAAATTTTAAAAACATGAAAGACCTTTTGTGAAGTGATCTTCACCAACAGTAACATTTCACAACATGGGCGACAAAAATAACAGTAATAAATGAGACACCGATTTACTGTAAATAAATGATTCCATCAGAATGTATCCATTGAGCACAATGACCTCTGCCTTCATTTTTAACTCTGTTGAGGTACCTACTGTGTCTTAAGACATGTAAAGGAATTGTAAAAGATGGTTTCTACTTCGAGATTTGGGTCCATTTTGGAAAGACAAAATGTAAAACACAAAACCAAAAACCACACCCAAATAGGAACAATGAAAGGGCTCAAACAAGCACAGACGATAGATGCGATAGAAATTCAAAGAAAGGTGAGTTTTGCATACCTAGGAGAAAGGCTTTTAAGGATGGATAAAATTTCAGGAAGAATGGAAAAGATCCTTTAGGAAGGAACATGTCAGAAAAGGCTTCTCACCAGTAGCGGCTGGAAGACACATGTTAGAGACAAACCACTTAGAGGGGCACCTGGCTGGCTCAGTCCATGGAGCATCGCACTCTTGATCTCGGTCACGAGTTCAAGCCCCACATTAGCAATAGAGTGGACTGGTGGGGTTCAGATTACATACAGCACTGATCAACAGCCTCAGCTTGGACTTGACCTGTGGTTAGAAGGGAGCAATTAAGAGGCTTTTCAAGCCAAGGAAATATTAGTAAATTGTGTCTGAGCAATTAATTAGCAACTTTGCTGAGGGTCCGTGTACATCAGATTCTAGGTTCTGAGAAAACAGCAGTAAAAATAAAAGAAAATCTAGATCTGATAGAAACTTGTGGGCTGATTGAAGGCTAGAGCCAGGCAGATCTTTTCAGAGATTTTTTTTCAGGATCAAAAAGGGTGAATGGGGGTATATTTGAGAGTCCTTTCAAAGGATGTATCAACGAGATATCACGAGTAGGATGTGGACCATAAAAGGATGAGTGGGTGGCAGGGAGAGCTTCCTGGCTTGTGATTCAAGTTTCAGCTGACATATCAAGACTTCCACTTTCATCTAACATGGGTAACAAGTACCATAGTTATCCTTTCACCTCAAACAAGGAAAAAATTAGACAAAATCTATGAAACAACAGGTGCATGCGATGTTTCATTTTGGCGAAATGTTCTCAGGACACTGGCTACCAGTCAGTGAAGGCCAGTGATCCCTGAGAGGAAACGAAATGACCCCTGTGGTTGTTGCCCCAGCTACTTCCCTCGACAGTGTTTCCAGGCTGTGGCACAGGGAAGGGGGAGCCCAAGTAGAACCTAGCGTTCACCCTCGTTAAGGAGCCAGAGCCGAGACATCAGGGAGGTCAAGGCAGCTAGAGTCTGGAAGGGAGCTTTACAAAAACCTCAAAGGTCTGCGGAGATCAAACATGGGAGGGAACGCGAGGCCAGTGGAAGAGCCACCTGGAAGGATTAGCAGAACCGGACCTTGTACAGAAGTCGTGCCCTTTCCGACCAGCCTTAGTGAAAAACCTCATGGTTCATAGGTCAGTGCCTATTCAGAAGTTTTGCCTCAGCTGTGGAAACTAACTGTTTCGGTCCTGTTTAACCAAACGTAAGCACTATTCAGAAGGATAACTATTTGAGTAACTCAACTGTGTCCCAGAACAAAATTTAAGAATATTTTTTTGAGTTTATTTATTTTGAGAGAGCATGAGCAGAGGAGGGCAGAGAGAGAAGGAAAGAGAGAATCCCAAGCTCTGACAGTACAGAGCCCAATGCAGGGCTCGATCTCACAACCACGAGATCATGACCCGAGCCAAAGTCGAGTCAGATGTGTACCCGACTGAGCCACCCAGACACCCAACAAAGTTTAAGAATATTAATAGGAGTACAAAATGGGCACTCACCAACATAGTATTGTTCACAGTATCTAGCATCCATTCAAAAGTTTTCCTGTATGCAAATATGCAGGGGGAAAAATCAGTGGACACCAGAAGTGGCAGAGGTGAGATCATTAGTAGACAGAGACATTGAAACAGAGTAACTATATTTTGCATGTTCAGAAAGCCGGAGAAAAGGTTAAATACGTTAAGTACAGACATGAGTGGTATAAAATGGCACAACTCCGACATCTCAAAATGAAAATTATAATTTCTGAGGAGAAACATGTACTGGTTGGAACTAGATGTTCACCCACTAGACATTGTAGAAGAAAAGATGGTGAACTTGAAGACGTAGAAACTATCCAAACTTGGGAATGCAAGCTGGTGCAGCCACTCTGGAAAACAGTATGGAGGGT